AGTGTATTCATCTGTTCTCACACTCCTGATAAAGACATACCGAAGACTAGGCAATTTACAAAAGAAAGAGGTTTATTGGACTTACAGTTCACCATGCCTAGGAAGACCTCATGATTATGGCGAAAGTCAAGGAGGAGCAAGTCACATCTTACATGAATGGCAGTAGGCAAAAAGAGAGAACTTGTGCAGGGGAACTCCTCTTTTTAAAATCATCAGATGTCATGAGACTTATTCACTGTCATGAGAACAGCATGGGAAAGACTTGTCCCATGATGCAATTACCCCCCACTGGTTCCCTCCCACAACACATGGGAATTCAAGATGAGATTTGGGTGGGGACACAGCCAAACCTATCAAAAGTGTTTACTGTTTCACTTGGCTCTCATTCTCTCTTGCCTTCCTCCATGTAAGATGTGCCTTTCACCTTCCACCATGATTATGAGGCCTCCCCAGCCATGTGGAACTGTGAGTCCATGAAACCTCTTTTTCTTTATAAATTACCCAGTCTTGGGTATGTCTTTATCTGCAGCATGAAAAGGGACTAATACACAATGCTTGGTCTAACAAATATGTAATACGTACATTGACATGAATGTGTACAGAATTAAGCTGTCTTTGTGTATTTATTTCTCCAAGTGTTCTGTATCTGTGTCATTGATTTTCCCAAGATCCTATGTATGTTTTGAGTGTGTGCCTAAATCCTCATGGTGTCTTCCTTTGACAATTAATGTAGTCATTCTCATGTTAAAAATTTTCTGGCAGAGTCTACATAACTAACTTTCTTGCCAGTCACTTTGTGGTAAAACAAGTTGGGAAGTTTGGGGAAAATTAGAGAGAGATGAGAGTGTTGAACAGGGTGCGCAGCCTTTTCTGTTTTCCCTATAGCAGATTTGTGCTGGTGCTAATGAAGCTAATCTTCAAGCCCTTCACTTTCAATGTATTTATGTAGTCATATATTTTTGCAAAATTTAGAAAAGTGAGGCATTTTGACCATAATTGAGTGAAATAATTGTCTTTTTACATCCTGACTTTTGCTCCTTCATACTTTTTGTGTTCGGTGGAGTTGAAGAGCAGCAATTTTAGTGAAAATACATTTAGTTTAGATTTAATGGTATATGTGTGATTTGCAGTCATAGCTAATATATTGCTATCTGTTCGAGCATGGGGATCCTTCTCGGCATACTGTATTCTGTGAGAGATTGCCTGGTATTGTGACAGCAAGGTACAGAGCAAGAGGACTAAGAAATGTGGTTGTGGAGGAAAAATAAGGTTAAAAATGTATTAAAGCCAAAGCTCATACTTGAAAATCCAGACTTACAGCTCTCATATGAAAGAAAATGTAACATCCATAATAAAATTTTACATTGCCTTTAATGGGTTGTAAAGTTGAAATAAAATATTCTAAACAGCCAATAAGAAGGAACATTATTCCTATTTGTAGATTTACAGAAAAGACTATTATCCTTTTGCTCTTTCTGTAGAAGATTACATGACAATATTATTGTATTATGAAGAGGTGACTGAAGAAAATGCAGTCACAAAATGTAAGAAATGTATAGGTAATTAATTTTAAAATACTGTGCAATTTTTTCTGGGCTTTGTGATGTTTGTGGTACTTCTGAGGATTTTAAAGTTTGTAATTTGTTGCAGGTTTTTTTCACATTCTGAATAACTATAGACTTTGTACCTAATTTTTGTATTTATAAATGTGTAATACCTTTTTCCTCAAAGAGGGCTCCCAAATTATAGAAGCTTCAGGCCTCAGAAAACCTGGATTTTCCCCCCATGTTCTTCCATATCCTACCATATTCACTAAGAATCACTGTTAGAAGAATCCTAATTTGGTAACCAAAGTCCTCAGATCTGCAAAGTCAACAAAACTCAGAGTACCTGAGATTTCTATGCTCCTCACTTACTTTTGAGCAAGACGGGAAGAGGAGGAGCGATACTAGTATTGCGGCAGGTGAAACTGCTTGCCTGAGCCTTGCAATGACAAAGATTGCCTGCCTCTAAGGCTGGGACAGTCTCATCAATCAACCTGTGCTTGAACTATTAGCACTGTCAGCTTCCACTTAAGAGATGATAATTCAAGGGTAGCCTTCCTCATCCACCGAAACTCCCTCCATCAACAGAACAAAACCCTTAATCAGAAGGAGGGGCAGGAGTGCCTATCTCTGGCAAAAACAACTGGCCCCGTCTACTTTCAGTCTACACTTCTTGAACTCATTTTTGCATGACTCTGAAAAAGATTCTCAGTAGAAGCCCTTGACTTGCTGGTACAGGAGTTGAGGCAGGGTTCACGTCCTTTGCCTTGGAAGGGAGTGGTTGTGATGCCAGGAACAGGAAGGTTACAATATTGCCTGTATGTTGATGTCTGATTTAAAAGAATAATCATGAACACAAGCCCTTTTTCTTTTTTTTTGCATATGCATTATCTTTGTGGGATGGGCAGACATGAATTGCTGGCTGAGTGTATGAGAAATGAAAGGCAGCCAATAAGCTTTGCCCTCACTTGGTAACAGGAGGAAAGACTATAATAGGCTGTTTCTGGGAGTTATGAGAATTATTTAGATCTGAAAGCAGGGTTGTAATTTTTTGACCCTAAAATAAATGGAATACGCACCTAGAGAGTATCATGTAACCCCTGATATTATTAAAAATATCAAGCATTTACATGATTTGAAGAGAAATCACAGTGCAAGTAGACACTTCATAGAGTCCCAGCCACTAGGATGGTTATCATTTCTATGAAGATTCACAAAAGTTTATGCTACTGATGGATAATTTTTTTTTTAATTGGGGTACTTATATAGTTTTAAAAATTATTTTGAAAATAAAGGCCTGAAAATCTGCTTCCCAAGTTTCTATTTCTCTTAAAGGTTATGATATCTTATTGCAATGGGGAGCCCCATGACCAGTATCACTGAGTTTCATCACTGTAGAAAAAACAGAGATTTCTCTTTTGGGGTGAAAACAGGGGAAAGGGATCTCAGTTGGCCTCTTTCTAAGTCCTTTTCTCCTTACCTCCACTCCTAGATCACCCAGGGAATTAAAACTCTGCCTGTTGGCCACTTAAATTAATGAAATTTCTCATGTCTAATACAGAAACATTGCCTCTGTGTGCTCTAGATACATATATGAATAGCACTTCTGTGGATGCCTCCCTGTCCTGGGCACCACGGTAATCCATGTAAATCACAGATTGGGTTTAAAATTCTCATCACCAGAAACCCACAGTGAGAACGGCTGAAGAGATGTAAAACATGAACAGGCTATCCTTTGGCCACAAAATTGGCTGATTGAAAATAAACTCCCAATTATTCTTTTTAAAAAGCCTGTCTTTCATGTGAAGGGGGGTCCTTTTTGGCCTGCTTTACAACTTTCTTGTTTTTTTAAAGCAAGACCAATGAAAAAGAGAGTTTAGTCCTTTTCTTTTTTTCTTAACTTATCCCTTTTCAGCCAATTTGTTGTGCTGATTAGTATTAATATGTGTTCTAAATGATGGGGATAATTTTGTTCGTCAGGGGACATCTGACAATATTGAAGACATTTTTGATTGTCCTAACTGGGTTGGGGATGGGGTGGTGCTACTGGCATCTAGTGAAGAGAGACCAGGGATGCTGCTAGACATTCCACAATATACAAGACAGCCTCGAATTATCCAACCCAATATGTCCATAGTGCTTAGTTAGAGAAACCTGGCCAAAAATACCATACACAAAGTAGAAAGAGTGAAATCTTTTTGATGATGATATGTTGAAAACATTTTATAGGCAATTGAAAATGCATCCTTTCATGTGTCATGAAAATGCATGACACAAAAGACCATGAGTTCCCAGGTCTTTTGTGTCATTGTTAGTTATGGCTACATCAATAAGCTTGAGTAAAACAGATTCTGATTTTGGAATCCTATTTTTATTTTTACTTAAGAAAGAGAAATGGGTTTGGATGGACAGCCTCCCCTCTATTGGCTATCCTAGGATGGAGTAATGCAGTTGCTGTTTTAGAGTAATCAGTCAGTTGGTATGAAATCTGCCAGAGCTTAGGGCATGTGAAAGTATCTGTAATTTTTATAACTTTTGTAAATAGGCTAGACATCATGGTGTCCCCTGCATTTGTTGTTATGCAAAAGTCTTATTTACTCTCACTTAGGAAACATTTGTTGTTTCAATTTGTTATATAACCTTATAGATTAAATTCTAAATATAGAAGTCACAGATGATATTATTTAATAATTTCTTGAGAGTCTGGATGACTAAAAGCAACTTCATGGGCTTGCTAGGAATGCATCTGGAATATATAACCACTTGTAATAGAAGGATTTTGATGAAATTAACCTAATTGTTTTTTTTAAGTTAAAGATCCAATATCCACTTGTAATAGAAGGATTTTGATGAAATTAACCTAATTTTTTTTAAGTTAAAGATCCAATATTAATCTTAAATCATACAACACATCCACCTCATTCAATATGTATCTTAGTCTCTCTGTTATACTCATGTCTTGAAAAAAATCAGTTAATTCAAATCTTGGGACCATTCCTCAGTTTCATAACTACATTGGGATATTAGAGGAATACTAGAAACATGATTATAATGCCAGAAATTAGTCTTGTAAAATGAAGGGGCATAATTCAGCCTATGGAATGTAACAGTGATACGAAATCACTTAGAATATGGAGACATATTGGAAAGGGCAAAAACAAAGCTAATATCTACTTCTGAAGAAGGCAGGCAAAAGGACATGGATGACGTGCTAATTACAAAGAATATTTTTCGAGAGTGAGGTGGTCAAATGTAGTATGTGATGGTTAATACTGAGTGTCAACCTGATTGGATTGAAGGATGCAAAATATTGTTCCTGGGTGTGTCTGTGAAGGTGTTACCGAAGGAGATTAACATTCGAGTCAGTGGTCTGGGGAAGGCAGACCCTTAATCTGGTGGACACAATCTAATCAGCTGCCAGCAAATATAAAGCAGGCAGAAAAACATGAAGAGGTGAGACTGGCCTAGCCTCCCAGCCTACATCTTTCTCCTGTGCTGGATGCTTCCTGCCCTCGAACATCGGACTCCAAGTTCTTCAGTTTTGAGACTCAGACTGGCTCTCCTTGTTCCTCAAGCTTGCAGACAACCTATTGTAGGACCTTGTGATCGTGTAAGATAATAACTAATAAACCTCCCCTTTATATACATCCCATTAGTTCTGTCCCTCTGGGGAACCCTGACTAATACAGATTTTGGTATCAGGAGTGGTTCTAGAGGAACAGAATATTAAAGATGAAGTTCTTTTGTTGGTTTTGGGATTTCTAGAGTTGGCTGCTTAATATGATTAGAACCAAAAATGCTAAGGACTCTACTTCTCGTAGTATGGAGAACACTGATAGTCCTTGACATTAACTGTTTAGAGAGTTATGCAAAATTAATGCATTTGCCACTCCTGATTCACAGCTCATGAGAGGCAAGGAGTTTAGTGACTCTGTACATCATACCTTTGACCATATGTGGAGAGTCAAGGAACATAATGAAGCTGATTGGTTCCTCCTAAGTTCAGTGGGCAAAGTGATGAAAGAAAATGATGAATTCAGGGATTCTGTCTCCTGGCCTTAGAAGCAGATACTGAGCCTCAAATCTGCTAAGATTTCCCTGAGTGAGAGTCTTATCTTCTATAGAGAAAGAGCTGAAATTGTGGAAAAACAGACACAAGCTCTTATTATACGTGCTGCTGACCTGCAATGAAACGTGCATGCACAGCCTCACCAGGTGTCTACTGTTAAAGTGAGGGCATTGACTGGAAAAGAATGGGACCCTGCAACTTGGAATGGGGACGTGTGGGAGGACCCTGATGAAGCTGGGGACACTGAGTTCGTAAACTCTGATGAAACTTCTTTGCCAGAAGGAACAGCTTCCCCATCCCCAGAAGTGGCAACATCCCCTCCTTGACCCATGCTGCCATTAGTCTTTCCACTTTTGTCTGAGGAGATAAACCCTGTGCTGCCTGAGGCAACAGCGAAGGCATCCCCTGAGGCAATTGCCAGAAAAAATAATGTTGATTCTCCTCAGGAGCCACCTGCAACACCCCTTTGCTTCTAGACCTATAGCTAAAGTCGTGGCGGACCCCTAGAGGTGAGATTGGGAGTGTGACCCCTGAGGAGGTGCGCTACATTCAAAAAGAACTGTTTGAGTTTTCTAATTTATATAAACAGCAATCTGGAGAACAGGCATGGTAATGGCTATTAATGGTATGAGATAATGGTGGAAGGAACATAGAGTTGGATCAGGCTGAATTTATTGATTTGGGCCCACTAAGTAGGAACTCTGCATTTAGTGTTGCAGCTCAGGGAGTTAAAAAAAAATTTCTGATAGTTTATTTGCTTGGTTAGCTGAAATACAGATTAAAAGATGTCCTACTGTGAGCAAGCTGGAAATGCCTGATCTTCCTTGGTTTAATGTAGAGGAAGGGATCCAAAGGCTTAGGGAGATGGGATGGTGGAATGGATTAGTTACTTCAGACCTACTACTAATCCCAGCTGGGAAGGTCCAGAAGATATACCCTTGACCAATGCCTTACAAAATAGATGTGTGAGGGCAGCACCTGCATCTTTGAAGAGCCCTATAATTGCTCTTCTTTTATGTCAGATCTAACAGTGAGAACCACAGTCACTTAACTGCAAAATTTAAGTACAATGGGAATAATTGGATCCCAAGGTGGCAGGGGCCAAGTGGCAGCACTCAACCTCAAAGGCAAGGTGGATGTAGCTATTATCATGGACAGCAGTGACAAAGCAGCAATCAGGATAGTCTGACTTGTGTAGAGCTCTGGCATTGGCTAATTAATCATGGTGTTCCTATAAGTGAAGTTGGTAGGAAGCCTACTGCATTCCTACTTAATTTATACAAGCAGAAAACTTCTAGGTCAAATGGACAAAAGACTAATTTGAATTATAAAAACAGAGAATCATGGCCCCTCAATCAATTTCCAGACTTGAGTCAGTTTACAGACCCTGTACCCCTTGAATGAAGGGGAGGCTGTATCCCCACTACGTTATGGACAGTTTATGCAGTGAATCTTTCTCCCATCCTTCCCCAAGGAGACTTCCAGCCTTTTACCAGGGTAGCTGTACAGTGGGGAAAGGGAAATAATCAGATATTTTGGGGACTACTGGACACTGGCTCTGAGCTGATGTTGATTCCAGGGGACCCAAAATGTCATTATGGTCCTTCAGTTAAAGTAGGGGCTTATCAAGGTCAGGTAATTAATCGAGTTTTATCTCAGGTCCAACTTATAGTGCATCCAGTGGGTCCCCAGACTCATCTTGTGGTCATTTCCCCAGTACCAGAATGCATAATTAGTATAGACATACTTAGCATCTGGCAGAACCCCCACATTGGCTCCATGCCTGGTAGGGTGAGGGCTATTATGGTGGGAAAGGCCAAATGGAATCCGTTAGAGCTGCCTCTACCTAGAAAAATGTAAATCAAAAACAATATCACATCCCTGGAGGGACTGCAGAGATTAGTGCCACCATCAAGGACTTGAAAGACGCAGGGGTGGTGATTCCCAACACAGCCCTGTTCAACTCTTCCATTTGGTCTGTGTAGAAGACAGATGGATATTGAAGAATGACAGTGGATTATCATAAGCTTAACCAAGTGGTGACTCCAAATGCAGCTACGGTACCAGATGTGGTTGCATTGCTTGAGCAAATTAACACATCTCCTGGTACCTGGTATGCAGCCACTGACTTGGCAAATGCCTTTTTCTCCATTCCTATCCATAAGGCCCACCAGAAGCAATTCGCTTTCAGCTGGCAAGACCAGCAATATACCTTTACTGTCATACCTCAGGTGTATATCAACTCTCTGGCTTTGTGTCATAATCTTATTTGGAGCAAACTTGATTGCTTTTTGCTTCTGCAAGATATCACACTGGTCCATTACATTGATGATATTATGCTGATTGGATCCAGTGAGCAAGAAGTAGCAAACACACTGGACTTATTGGTGAGACATTTGTGTGTCAGAGGATGGGAAATAAGTCCGACTAAAATTTAGGGACCTTCTACCTTAGTAAAATTTCTAGGATTCCAGTGGTGTGGGGCCTGTAGAGATATTCCTTCTAAGGTGAAGGATAAGTTGCTGCATTTGGCCCCTCCTACAACCAAGAAAGAGGCACAATGCCTAGTGGGTCTATTTGGATTTTGGAGGCAACACATTCCTCATTTGGGTGTGCTACTCCAGCCCATTTATCTAGTGACTTGAAAGGTTGCCATTTTGGAGTAGAATCCAGAACAGGAGAAGGCTGTGCAACAGGTCCAGGCTGCTGTGCAAGCTGTTCTGCCACTTGGGCCAGATAACCCAACAGATCCAATGGTGCTTGAAGTGTCAGTGGCAGATAGAGATGCTGTTTGGAGACTTCAGCAGGCCCCCACGGGTGAATCACAGTGGAGGCCTCTAGGATTTTGAAGCATGGCCCTGCCATCTTCTGCAGATAACTACTCTCCTTTTGAGAGACAGCTCTTGGCCTATTACTGGGCTTTGGTGGAAACTGAACGTCTGACTATGGGTCATCAGGTCACCATGTGACCTGAATTGCCTGTCATGAACTGGATGTTTTCTGACCCATCTAGCCATAAAGTGGGTCATGCACAGCAGCATTCCTTCATCAAATGAAAGTGGTATATGCATGATTGGGCTTGAGCAGGTCCTGAAGGCATAAGTAAGTTACATGAGAAAGTGGCTTAAATGCCCATGGTCTCCACTCCTGCCACCCTGCCTTCTCTCCCCCAGCCTACACTGGTGGCATCATGGGGAATTCCCTATGATCAGTTAACAGAGGAAGAGAAGACTAGGGCCTGGTTCACAGATGATTGTGGACAATATGCAGGCACCACCTGAGAGTGGGCAGCTATAGCACTGCAGCCCCTTTCTAGGACATTGCCAAAGAACAACAGTGAAAGGAAATATTCCCAGTAGCTAGAACTTTGAGCAGTGCACCTGGTTGTGCACTTTTCATGGAAGGAGAAATGGCCAGATGTGTGATTATATACTGATTCATGGGCTGTAGTCAATCATTTGGCTGGATGGTCAGGGACTTGGAAGAAGCATGATTGGAAAATTGGTGACAAAGAAATTTGGGGAAGAGGTATGTGGATGGACCTCTCTGAGTGGTTAAAAACTGTGAACATATTTGTATCCCATGTGAGTGCTCACCAATGGGTGATCTCAGCAGAGGAAGATTTTAATAATCAAGTGGATAGGATGACCCGTTCTGTGGACACCACACAGCCTATATCCCCAGCCACCCCTGTCATCGCCCAATGGGCCCATGAACAAAGTGGCCATGGTGACAGGGATGGAGGTTATGCATAAATTCAGCAACATGGACTTCCATTCACCAAGGCTGACCTGGCTATAGCCATTGCTGAGTGCCCAATTTACCAGCAGCAGAGACCAACACTGAGTTCTTGATATGGCACCATTCCTTGGGGTGATCAGCCAGCTACCTGGTGGCAGGTATTATATTAGACCTGTTCCATCATGGGAAGGGCAGAGGTTTGTCCCCACTGAAATAGACACTTAGTCCAGATACAAGTTTGCTTATCCTGTATGCAATGCTTCTGCCAAGACTACCATCACAGAATGCCTTATCCACCATCATGATATTCCACACAGCATTGCCCCTGACCAGGACTCACTTTACAGCTAAATAAGTGTGGCAGTGGGCTCACACTCAAGGAAATCACTGGTCTTACCATGTTTCTCTGTCATCCTGAAGCAGCTGGATTGATAGAATGGTGGAATGGCCTTTTGAAGTCACAATTACAACACCAACTAGGTGACAACACTTTGCGGGGCTGGGGCAAAGTTCTCCAGAAGGCTGTGTATGCTCTGAATCAGCATCCAATATATAGTACTGTTTCTCTCACAGCCAAGATTCGTGGGTCTAGGAATCAAGGGATGGAAGTGGAAGTGGCACCACTCACCATCACCCCTAGCGATCCACTAGCAAAATTTTTGCTTCCTGTTCCTGTGACATTACATTGTGCTGATTTAGAGTCTTAGTTCTAGTGGGAGGAATGCTACCATCAGGAAACACAACAATGATTCCATTAAACTGGAAGTTAAGATTGCCACCTGGACACTTTGGGCTCCTCC